AACAATCACCCGCCTTTTCTTCATAACTGAGAAATAATAACTTTATTCATAACTTCATAACTTCATTGGATCTAATTAAATATGAAAATTTATAGGGATAATTTATAGGGATAATTCTGGGTGAGTATAGGAAGACTTCTAATTTTTCTTTAAGTCTTCTAAGTTGGAAAAAAACATGAAGAATTGTAGGATGATATGGCTTATAGGTTTATTAGCTGTATTATGAAAATAAGTAACTGTGGTTTTCCGTGATTTTATTCCTTCCAGTGGACTTTGACCTAGACTAAAGGCATAGACTGCAAACAATATCTAAAATTTATATGTGTGTGTATGCATATGTACACAAAATATACATATATATAATATGAACAAAATATTTATATAAAAATTAAATATTGTTAAGTGCTAATTGTGTATTCTACAGCAGAAACACTTTTGCACCCTATAGTTTTAAAATATAATTTTGATTTCTGTTTTAGTTTGTGGTTTATTTTTAAGATGGACCTTTTTAATTTTTAAAATCATGTGCACTGTGTGAATTTCAGCTTCCACATTCATATTTTAACTTAATTTCGTGCACTCTGTACATGAAATAATACCCCTTTTTTAGATTAATTACATTGTGGAGCCACATATTGGATTCGAAATATGTAGAATCAATGATATTGGGATTGTAAAAACTGCAGAGCTCCAGTAGGTCTCAGTGGCAGATTTCTCTTAAAAAAAATACAAAACTAAGCACAGTTGACAGTTCTAAATTTTATGTGTGTCTGCTGATGCAAAACTGATTATGTTCCTTTGAAAATATTCCTAGAAGAATCAATGTAAAAGGGAGACTGATTTAATGTGAGGCTGGCTAACAAGTTAAGTGAATTTTGAAAAAGCCCTATAATGTACACTTCATTTTTGCTGAAGTAATTTTAACTCAAAATTACACTTTTTGAGTTCAAAAGAATACTTACTTATTCCCCGATAATGAACCTTACATAGATAATTTGAATATTTTGCGTATTTTCGTACTAACGTCTTCTCAAACCTGATACACTGTACGTAGTTCATCGAGATACTCTGGATTTAATTCAAGCATCTTCCATGACACGTTTATGCTCCATTTGTTAAGGCTTTGTTTCTTTAATTGCTATAATTCATTAAATCACAGGATTTGAGTCTTTCTTCTTATTCTTCCTGATCACTTTTACATTTCCTTGGTTTCCATGGAAGCTGAAAGAGAATATGAGTGTTTGTTTTAAAATTCCAGTCAACATCAAAAGTCTTGCATGTATGAAAATGATGTTCTATATCTGATTATATTCTTAAGCCAGGAAAGTTCCTAATTAGGTAAAACTGATCCATCAGAGAAAAGCTCCATTCTTGGTACTCTTTATTTCTTTAAAAAAAAATAAAACAAAACAAACCTTATGAGTTATATTTCCAAAACATCATTTTGTATTTGTAGGTTGTATTTTCATTAGAAGACTTTGTCATGTAATTATAATGTTTCCGTGATCATAGTTGAACAGCGAAGTATCATTCTGTTTTAAAGCTGGGATTTCAAGGAAGTAAAGGTGGCCTTCACTGTATATATATTCTAACCAAATTCATATATACCTTAATATTTTCGAATACAGTCTACATTATCAGAAACAGGTGGAAAAAGTCTTGTTTAATGTTTTTGGAGTGCCATAATTGTAAATATTTTAATATTTTCTTTTAGCTGGAAAGTGAAATTTCCACCACAGTAGAAGATTACAGTTCTGAGGTAAGAAGTAACGCTTTTCCTAGCTTTTCTTTCAAATTTTTCTTTTACATGTTTACTGCAATGCTGTGCATTGCAAAAAGAGAAGGAAAGAAAGAGCAGACGAGATATTGTAGACAAAGCTGTTACCTGTCATTACTGGTATGATTAATGTACCATTAAAGCAAGCATTATGTCAGCTACATATTGGAATGTCTGCTATAATCAATAATGCAGTAGATATATGAACTATTGTAACAATGTCATTGTTATGCTTGTATTAGTGCTTCATGTTGCTACTGGAGTTGTTGCTGTGCATAATTTCTACTAATTTTCTGTGTGAAACAAGTTGATTACATTTTAATGAGTTCCAAAGCAGCCGTTGCTCAGCGGCTGGCTGGGCATCAGTCTGCTGGTGGGAGGTGGTGAGCGAATGCCTTCGTGTCGTTTGTTGTTTGAGAGTTTGGTTTTGTTTTCTTTCACTTACTAAGCTGTCTTTATTTCGACCAATGGATTTTTCTCACTTTTGCCCTTCTGATTCCCTCCTCCATCCCACTGGTGGGGCAGTGAGTGAGTGATTGTGTGAGGGGCTTAGCTGCTGGCTGGTGTCAACCCACCACACATTGGCATCTACTACTCATCTGTCACGCTGAAGGGTAGTGGCGTATGTGGAACTTTAGTGTTGCCAAATAAACCAGTTTGTTATGTTTTTAAGGAGCAAACTACCTCATGCATAAATGTGGATCAAGAACATGCAAGAAATAGCCATGGAATATCTGAGTACAGTAAATATTGTTTCTACTTAAATTAATTTTTCATATCTCAATTGCTTTCTGTAGTGACAATCTGGGGTTTGTTTTGCAGATCTCTGTGCTAAACACTCCTGCAAAACACACCTCAGAATCTTAAGCTTGGCAACAAGTAAGAGGGAATGAAGTAATCAAATGAGTATCTGTTGCTGAATAAATTTGGTGTAGAATACTTTGTTCCTCTCTTGATTTAGCCTTTTGTAAGAGGAGATGACTATGCCTTAGGATGACCATTTGTTCTGTACTAGTATGATAGCTGCTTATTCTGAAGCCCAAGGGAATATACACACCAGACAACGTGTCGCTGACCTGCTGCATTGATAGTGCAAAAGTAAAATCGTTACTGCAGTGTGCAATCTAGACACGCCCTGAAAAATGGAAGGACTTTTCTTTCCCAGCTTAAATACTCTGTCTTTATTTGCTCCTTCTCCCACCCTGTTCTCTTGACCGACTCTGTGTCTGTTTTCTATCCCCTAGTTTTCTGTAAATTCTTCCTTTCTCTGTAATGGGTCTTGTCAGTCTTTTCACCTTCCCTTGCCCATCCCCGTTTTCCCCTTGCTTAGTTTCTTAGCTCAATCCTACAGGCTTTTCACCCTGTTTCTGTTCTTCCTTTTCCTTCCTCAATCATTCCGAAGCTCAGTATCTTTCCTAGCCTTTCCAACTTCATCCAAGCATTGTTTTCCCTTGTTGTTTCTTTTGATATTTTTTTCTCCCTCTTCTCCTTTGTTACCTCTTCTTATGTTGGGGGGGTCCTAATGTTCAGCTCAACTTGTCCTAGGTGAAAGCAGTACTTTTCCTTTCCAACTTCTCTCATCAAATCCGTTACAGTTTTCTTCATAAATTTGATCTCAGCCTTTTAGTTGAATTCTTTTCCTGTCCCTCTCTTCCCCAGTCTGACTCTCTCTCCCACTTCTTCCTCCTGCACTTGTTTATGAGCACTCTTACTTTCTTCTGGTGTGTTGGGAGAAGGCATTTGCGAGTACAGAGAAGACGTTCCCTCATGTTCATTATTGGCCACTTTCAAATACAGAATACTGAACCATATGGACCCTTGGTCTGGTGAATCGTGATTGTTCTTATGGCATGTTTTATGTGATGCAAATTTAGAAAAAAGTATCTGGGACCAGCACTTTTGGAATTGAAGATTCCAGTCCAGCTGCTGGCGAGTGCTGTAAATGAAAGAAAGAAAAAAAGATTTTTATGGAGGGATAGGTGCAAGGAGTTGAGTCAAACTCTGCCTGGGGAAAAAAAATCTCTTCATAGTTTTAATATTTTTCGTAGATAAAATGTTGGTTTTTTTGTCCAAGGAATTAAAGTAGCAAAGAACAAGAAGAATCTGAGTTTGCTTTATGTATGGTAACATGATAGGGCCGTATGTGCACACAGTTTTCCGTTGAGGTTGTAGCAAATACACTATTGAACAACTGCTATGACCTTACTGCACCTTTTTAGAATATGCATCACCATGGTATGTGATTACTATTAAATGGAATATGCAGTGTGTGAGGAATGAACCCTTGCAAACAGTTGACAATGGCATTGATATTCATGTATTTTTACAAGCGAGAGGTATTACATATATAATGAAATATGACTAAGAAATTTTTATCGCTTCTGAGGTTATAGGAAGCAGTGTTGCAGACTGATTGCAAAAGCTCAAGGAAATATCTTTGCAAAGGAGATGGAATACAGAAAAGATCTGGCATAATGCCTCATGAAAATTTTGGATGTGTTCTCATTTTTGTGTTTTGTTGTTAGTATGAGTTGAATTCAAAGCTTTCATTTTAAAATGAGTTTTCACATCTAAACACTTAACTTTACCCTGCTTCATTCTTCAAAGATTTCTGTAGGTTCCTACAGAGTATATTAGGGAGCAATTTTTGAGATACTAAAGACAATAGAATTGCAGCCGAACTGCTTTCTGAATATGCCTTTTAAAAATTTGTAGATTTCCTCAAAATTGCAATGACAGATGCATTTCTGGGCACTCTTATTCTCATTCCTGCAAAAAGACTTTTTATCTCCCTAAGGATTATTTTCCAAGACATAAGTAGGCAACACGAGACTTGTGAATAGTAACACAATACTGGGTCTAGTGAAGAACAAACTCAAGTGCTGAGAGTTGCTGTCTTAATGAGCTCTTTTTAATTCCAGTTAATTACAGTTGGTTGGTATCTGCAATGAGAAAACAACACGTTTAGGAATGCCTATATTTTAGGAACTGAATTTTTGATATGTTTTGTGTCAGCTGTAATGTTACTTTTATTATCAAAAGCTGTACTTATATTCATGGCCACCGTGTAAATAAAGTGATCTGAAGCCTTTTAAGTTGAAGAAGATGAGAATAAGTTAAATTTTGTCTGTAGCAGCGTAATTATGAAGTTGTATGAAATCTTGAGCTTACCTTTTTTTCAGGTGCATGACCTCCTTTTCGGAGAAAAAAAAAAACACTAAGAAACCACACGTTTGTAGAAACATAGGTCTGTCAATGCACCTTTTCCCTCACTGTTTAGAACATCTGTATTATTTTTAGTGATTTTTTTTTTGACAGAAATTATGTTGAAATCAAGGCTGTCATGCTTCAAAGTAAAACAGGTCATAAGTCATTAGTTTTGTTATAGGCAAAATAAGTCAGATGTTTTTAATTCTTCAGGCTCTTCTTGTGAGGAATTGGATAAAATTCAGTGATAAGTATTTCTGTCTTTAGGAGACTTAATAGACACACAATTATAAGCCAATACAGTTGTCTAAGCAAAATTGAAGGAACCTGTGCATGCTTATATAAGAATTTTTGTCTTGAAGGAATTTTATTGTAAATACGGTCTCTTGTTCAGTTTTGTTCTACCATTTCTCTAAATACCTACACTATCAAAGGTAGTTGCCAAACTGAAAACTGATAAATCCTTCATCTTGCCTTTTGTAACAAATTATTCAGTTTGAGCAAGAATGAGACCTGGCTGCATAGTCTTAAATTAAATTATAATGGTGATTAGCTATTTATGGTTACGGTCTAAACTCAGAGCTAAGGAAAGTTAGGCTTTTTCCAAGAGTTGAGATTTTTTTGGGTTTTGTAACTGTGGAAGATAAGGTTGCCCCCATATAATTTCCATATGCCTCAATTTTACATTATAACTGAAAAATTGTCCCACCTGATGTGGTGTTGTGTTTTGTTGGTTTTTTTTCTCTTATTGACTCTCTTCCCAATTTCCAAAGTGTACCTCTGAAAATGTGGTTAATATGATGTCTACAAAGTTTGTTCTTTTTTTTTTTTTAATGTTAATGAAATTCTATGCCTTAACCACTAAGTAAAGAAGTTTTCTGGTGCGTGCTCTTAACATATAGAAAAATATATTACGCCATGATATTTTTAAAAGCCACCAATTGTTATCCTTCAGGAGTTATTAAGTTTAGTTATATGATTGTAATTACTTTCCTCACAAACCAAAAATTATTTTCGTTTATGGAGATTAAAAAAAACCCCACAACTGAAATTCATTTTCCCAAGTTGCCATAATTGCTAGTTTTAACTAAGTTTCATATAGTCGCTTGTGATATAACTAAGAACATTGACAAGCAGTGTTGGAAGTTTAAGTATTGATTTTTGTGAAGGAATCACATGTCCAAAATATAGAAAAGGGGGGAAAAAATGAAAACATGATGTAAAGTTGTTAATCCATTCAGATACTTCTGTATGTTTATACCACCAAATCAAAGCAGTTTTTTATCAGAAGTGTGCTGTAATAGGTTATATTATTTTCATGCATTCAGGTATGTCTACGTTTTTCAGTGATCGAACAGTATGTGTTGTTTTATGCTGAGCATTAAATTGCTATTTATAAAGGGAAATCTCTATAGTACTGGCATTAATGTTATCAGTAGTTACATATATATTATAACTGCTACTTCTGAGGTACAATTTCAGGTCTTCCAAGGTCTAAGGCACATTAAAAGGGGTACAGTGATTTCATAAATTTAATCCTGACCTCTGGTGGCAATTGTCATGAATCACTGCCTTAATTCACTGGTGGAAGTTGGTTTTCCTTCTGTTTCTCTGGAAGAAGATTCCTTTCGTTTGTCTTAAGCATATGTATTTACTGATGCAATATAAATGATGCCTTTATTTTTAGCCAATAGACTAAAAGTTGTATTTTACTTTATGTTAGTAAATACTGTTTCTGTGAATTATTTTGAAAATACAAGCAAGGAATTAAAAATCAGACAGAACGTCCTTTGAGAGACTTCCATAACCTTCACTTTTTTCATGTCTTTTGTTCACCAAAACAGTTGCTCCTGGGTAGCTAATGTGTTGTGAAATTTAATTTTTTCTTACTTTGTGGTTATTTGTTTATGCAATTATATCCAGAGCTCTTGTTACTCCTCGCTTTCATTATCTTAAAATACTGTGCAGTTTGATTATTTTTTTAAGTGTTTGTTTGCTGGGGTATGTAACTAAGCACATCATAAGGCATTAAGGCATAAGGACATTTCAGCATTAAAGGTGAACTGCAAAGCTTTAAAAGAAGAAATTGTAAGAGTCTACATCAATAGTATTTATGGACTTTTTCCATAGATTATAATGCACCTTTGTTGTCTTGTCATGTTTCAACTTGCACTTTACCAGGATGCATAAGGCATTTGAAGGGAGAAGGTATCAGATGAGAAACAGCATGTACTACCGAGTTACGGTGGTGGTTCACTTCTGTGATGTCCAAGAGCTAGGCTGCTGGGAAATGAGGCAGGGTTTCCAAAGTTCCAGACAGTTGTTTTGAATGTGTATAACAAAATCCCTTTTATAAGTAAAAGGTCTTTTGTAGAAATTTCAGCTGCTAAGGAGCCTGGAACATCTAGTAAGATAAGTCTTTTATGTCTTTCCTAGTAGCTGGTATTATAAAGCATCTAAGAGTCTTTGTTGCACACAGAAATGATTTGCATGAAGAGAAGCGTGTCCACTGTGGCAGATTACAAGAATCATACGCTTTATCAATTAATTCTAAATGAACTGCGAGTTAAAAAAAGGAAAATAAATATTTCATAATAGAGTTTCTGTTAAACTACTACTGTTATTAATCTGGGACATGTGCCAAAATCTGAATAAAGACATTGGGGCCAGACACTGTGTAGATGCTTGCATGTCTGAATGTAGAGTGAACATCTGGCAATACACAAATGATTTGCAGTGCCTCTGAGTTGCCTAGACTGCTGTTTGCTGCAATTTTCTTTTTTCTTTCTAAAATAAGGTAGTGATCTCTTTGTGGTGTCATCTTTTTTACTGAGGAAGTCAGGAACTGAAAGGGCACTGTGTCAGCTCTGCAAACTCTTCTCTAATATTCATTCTTTTAATACAGACTCAATGACTATATTGATCACATTTATAACAGTGTACTTCCATGTCGAGTAACTTACTGATTTCCTCGGGCATGCTAGTCCTTTGTAAATAAGCCCTTATCTAGACTATGGCAGATGCCTGAGCAGTATAGCTTCCTTTTTTTTTTGATTTAAATGTAGTATGTGGGTCTGAAATGCTATGATGCCTTTCCATCTCTAGTACCATTATTTTCGTTTTGGGCTCTGATGTAATAACCAGCTCTGAGGGGAAATACAGCTGTTCTTGCTTTCTGATTTTAAAACATTGGTCTACTGTTTTAAAAGCCTACCTGTCTGTTATGGTTACTCGCAAGTCCACAGCCTATCCTTTTCATTTGGATTTTTTTTTAACCTATAACTGCTACTTTGGCTTGTGCTTGCCTTTTGGAGATTGTCATTATTAATTTGAACAGTCTGTAGAACCAAAATTCTCATAGAACCTGAAAGGAGTTGCAGTGTTAGGTGAGTGAAAGAGGATTTTTTTCAAATGTCTTATGTTAAATGTATAATTTCTGCTCTCTTTCAATCTTAAGAAATTATTTCAAATTGGGGATGTCTGTGATACTGCCTTTCATCTACTATTGAGAGATCAGTGACTTTCAGAAATAGTAAATCTTAAGGTGCATAAATATCTTTTAGAAAGCATAACTATGTTTAATAATATATGGAAATATTAAACATATAATTTAAAATGCAGTAGTACTGCATTTTACTCTGTTAAAGTGTAAAGCTTTGCATTGACCTTTAAATCTGAATTCCTTTCTTTTCTCTGGGTGTTCAAATTCAGATGATTTTTGTTTTTAGACGATAGTATCATTTTTGCATTTGTTGGTGTTTTAGCTGTTACCTGTGCTTACTTTGATGCAATTTGCTATATATAAAGCTATTTTGTATTTCAAATAGAAAAAATTGTTGTAGCATAAAAATTCCTGTGGTTCTACAGGAATCATCACGTAAGATTCAAATGAATGGAAAATAGAAATCAAGCGTTATTTCAAATAATAATGTATTTAGAAATTGTCTTTATACAGGCAAATGATTGCAGTTTTGTGACAAGAGCAGCTATACCTGCAGACTTAATCAGGGTACAGTATTGCAAGTTGAATCGTAATACTAATGGTGAATACTAAAAACCTCAAACAATTTGTTTCAAACAAAAAATATGTTGCTGACTAATACTTTATTTTGCATGCTGTGCTCTGCATCTGCATTGTTTGTTATATATTAATAAAGTGTATCATTAAACTTGGAATGCAAAACAATTTACTACTTCTATTAAGGCTAAGATTGTAAAGCAGAACTTGCAGAAACACTTTACGTCAGTGCTTTTGGGGTGTGAATTATACTAACAAAGGAGGTTACCATGGCAATAAGATCTTCGATGCTGTATTGTGTGTTAATGTACTAAGGTGGCATTTCATACAGAATTTGATATTTGAGTTTCTTACTGTGATAAAGCATAAAGAACGGTATGTTAAGGAACTTGGATTGATTTAGGAAGAAGAATTTGGAGTTGGAGAGATTTATTCCGAGCATGGAATGCAGCACTCTCGCATGCAGCTAGAGGTGATGGAGAATGAATTGGCTGGGAAACAACAAGAGATTGAAGATCTAAACAGAGAGCTAGAAGAAATGAGGGCAGCCTATGGTACAGAAGGATTGCAACAGGTATAATTACCTTATGTTGCTTTCTACTTGCTACTTGGTTACATGCAAAAATGCAGAGCATCACCTGAAAGAATTCACGCTCAATGGCAGCTGTTCAGAGTGCAGTCTCTGCGTGATATAGAATTACACATAATTTCTTTCAGTCACATACCATGTGCTGTTTCTTTGAATGGCATTTCCATTGTGTGTCCTTTTTTTCTGTATTTTGTGAATAAAATTCCAGTCGTCTTTGCAGTGACTTTCTTCAAATCAGGAATGGAAAGATGATTTTCTTCAAGAAAATAACTGAGTTTTTCTGTAGTTTGCAAAGACTGCATTTCTTTAATACCTTCCTGTTCCTCCGAGATAAAAAAAACCCTCAGGTTTTGGTTCCCAAGGAATGATTTAACTGAGTTTATCCTTGAGCCAAAAGGTTCTTTGTCAGACAAAGGCGTGTATCAGGCTTCACAGTCTGAAATACAAGGGAACTGTGTCAGAATGTTTTAATAAACAACTAATAACTTGGGGTTACAGGGAAGTATTTCTTACTTCAGATTGGAATTTAAAGTTAGGTTTTAAAGTAAAGAATATTAAATACTGACTCTTCTAGTTTAAACAAATGGTGCAATGCACTGAAGTCAGTGCTTTGTCATGCTTCATGTCTTACTTATCTCTCTCTCTTTTAATTTTGATTTGGGTCACATCATTGTGTTTTTCTATTTTTTGCAAAGTACTATAGAATACCAAAATTGTTCCACGATTTAGTCATTTTCACCTTCATTATTATTGCATAATTACAATTTTTTTTCTTTATTTGTATTTTATCCATGAAAATGGATGCCATGTTTTCCACCATAGTAGAGTGATCTTTAAGTGGTTGCCCTGGAGGAGGTGGTTAATCATTCCTTTGTCTGTTGGTGAATCTCTGGTGTTGCATTTTCAGTCAAACTTATCTTCTAGTTACTGTGTCTTGTATCTGTTGTGCTAAACATTACAGTCATAATTATGGCATAATAAAGAACATAAGCCTAATTTTAGTTTCTCACAATTGTGACTACTGTTAGTTTTTCCTGAAAAAGGTGAAAGTGAAAATGTTTGCATTTTTTAAATGACTATGATTACTATTTTTAAAATAAATTAAAATATACTGAAACAAAACAGGCTGTGGTACAATAATATTTTAATAGTTGCAGCATATTTTTGTATGATAGTGGTACAGTGCATAATATCTCAGTTAAGAAATGCATATGGTTTATTTTTCAGAAGAAACAAAAGAATTGTAAAAGGGGAGTGTGGAAGATACGTTGTGTCCTTTAGTTCTGACTGTTTGTTAAAGAAAAAGATTGAATAGAAAAAGTTGAAAATTACCGTATAACTGTGTGGATTGGAACAGATAAATTTAGTTATTGAATTTCATTGAACAGATGCAAAAGGAACGGTATGACACACTTGAGTGTCTGATCTCTTCCTAATTTTCTCTAACGGTCATCTAGTATTTCCACTAGATCCAAGCTTTTCAAGTAGGAGTTCAGTGCAGTGTTCTGAAAAGAACTTGGAAAGAATTTCCTCAAATTCTTTGCATTGTTTGACTTGTTTAAGGGACTTCTGTTTTTCCTGTCCCACTGAATAACGTCCCTGTCCTCTAAATCAGTAAGCTTTGTCTGGAAGCATTGTAATTTTACTTCAAGACTCAGTGTATAACCTGGAGAGGCTTCTTTTTAGGAGCGTTGAAAACAAAACAATTACAGAAGGTGACTGATGGTTTATGAAATTTGCAGTGTGTAGAGATGAAGCTTCCACTAGCCTTGAATGAGTTCAAATTGATGAAGTGACTTTAAAGCGAGTAACATATCTATTTATATAATTGCACGTGAAAACAGTCCCAATTAATACTGTAGAATGTATGGCAGCCTGAGTGGAATCCTACAAAAAATAAAACACTTGCAAAGGATTTTTTTCCTATACTTTTATCATTTCTCCAACACTGCAAATTAGAAAAGATTCATCTGTTAAATACACTGTATCAGTTTTACAGCTTGAGCTGATTTTCTCATGTAGTTCTGAATAATTTCTCTGGGTTCACAATATAGGATACTGCATGCTATCTATTATATGTTTTTATACGATTAATGCAATTTATTGCACTTTCAATGAGAGATATAATTTGCATTTATTGTGGGAAAAGTGCGTGGGCATGAATAGTTGTACAAAATTGCTGAAACACTAGAAATAGATACACTGACTTCATTTATGATGGTTTATTTATGTGGCCCCACTTCTTAGTTTAAAAGCAATTTATATATTTAACTAATTAACATTCTTAAAGTTTCAGATTTTGTTCTTTGATAAATGTATTTTATAGAGAGAGGAAAAAAATCTATTTCTGACGTTTTTACAAATAGAGTGTGTGAAAACATAAATGTTCCAGTAGGTCCGTGTGACATCTTTTAAATTGAGAGGTTAGGGATGATATATTCCTACTTAACTGGAATAAGCTATTATTTTTTTTTTGTCTGTGGCTTTGATGTGCGCTAATAGCTTTAATTTTATCTTTTGTAGCTGCAAGAATTTGAAGCTGCTATCAAAAAAAGAGATGACATTATCACTCAGCTCACTACTAACCTACAGCAGGCACGGAAAGAAAAGGATGAAACTATGAGGGAGTTCTTAGAGCTTACGGAACAAAGTCAAAAACTGCAAATTCAGTTTCAGCATGTAAGTTACAGTGCTACCAGTATTTATCTAGGTTCAAAAATTGGTGTTGCTTTGGAGGGTCCATAGATGGCCACTTCCTGCAGAAACACAGGGGTTTTTTTGTGTGTATTTTTGAAGAATTGATCTCTTAGTATAGATAAGCAATCACTTTACCAATCCTACTGTTATCATTATAGTACCTGGTTTTTGGTACTAATTCACTATAAAATAATAAAGATTAGTCTGTTTTCTTCCCTATTATGTGGTGATAGCTTCTGATCAGTACTGGATGATTGTAGTTATCTTAGGGAAAAACACTTGTGTAATTAGTTCCCAGAGCTTTGGGCTGAAATCTATCCTGTTCCCTTTGAAATCAAAGCAGCCAGCCATCAACTCTAGTGGGACACTGTTTCATGCTCCAGTCCCTCCTATATTTTTGGGTAAAACCTGCCTCTTGTGGTGTTATTAGAAGATAATTTAAATAACACTTAAGTTTCAGAGAAGCACTTGTTCTGATTCTGTGATTCTGAAAAGCACTGGTGCCATGGACACTCTTGTTAATCTACATGACTACAGTTTATAGTGTTGCAGTTGACTATTATAGTATTTTGTGCTCTTTAAGTATTTTATATAGCTTTTTTGAGCTTCAGATGGATTATACTCTGAAGCCTGAGCTTTTATTATTGAAAATGTGATTTTTGAGGACAGAAATGACAAATAGTTCATTTTACTACTTAAAAATGTTTCTGAGACACTGCTATCCTGTGCTAGCTCACTATAAAGCAATTTAATAATAAATATTTTTTATTGTTTTGCCATCCTAAGAAAATAAGTATATTTCAGTTCCTCCTAAAAGAACTTATAGAATTTTGCGATAGTCTTTGGTCTTGTGATGTGGAAGAAGAAAGTCAAGATCACTCTTTCTGTAGTGCAAGCTGTTTCTGAAAAACTTGATAATATCAGGTTTTATTTTTTTAACATTCAAGTTGCAGGCAAGTGAAGCCCTAAGGAATACCAGCCATAGTTGCACAGCTGCTGATTTGTTGCAAGCCAAGCAACAGATACTTTCGCATCAGCAACAGCTAGAAGAACAAGAATGTCTGCTGAAGAATTATCAAAAAAAGAATAAAGAATTTGAAGTGCAAATTACACATCTTCAAGACAAAATCACAACATATGAAATGGTACGTTCCTTATTAGAAAGATCTCTTTTCCTAATCTCTTTTTTATTTTTAGGATTTTGTAGTTCCTTTGAAATTTAAGGACCAAAGCACAGATTGTGAGTGTGCCGCATATAATGCGTACAAAGATTTTAAGTTTTTAAGACTGCTTCTGTTAAGTAACATGTAATATGTGTATAATTTAAAACTGAAATGTTTATGTCAGTATTATGTATCACGTTTTTTAAAAATTGTAGGAATATTTACAACAAACTATGAAACTATACTGTATATTAGAATACCTCCATTAAATGACATTATTTTGTTAGGAATAAAAATTTAAAATAACTTGCTTGAACAATCTGTTCTATTTTGAGGAAAAAATGAGTTCTTTTATTCATGTACCTTTTTTTAATTACCTGTCATGGAAAACATCTTAAAAGTACCTAAAAAAAATTAAATGTACCTAAAAAAAATTAAATGTCATTAAAAGTGATGAGAGAGGAGGTTTTCATTAGATTGCACAAAATATTTTTTTGAAGTATCAGAGCACAACTGGAAAAAATGGAGGTGATTTTTTTGCAGGATGGGCATGCCAGGGACGGGATTGTCACTTCTTCCAAAGGTACAGAAAACCTCCAAATATGGCCAACAATAATTTATATTTCGTTTTTGTAAATTATCACTAGCCTTCTAAAGAAAGGCATTGTGTTTAAATAGCTAAGTCTATAAATGTTCGGATAATGATCTAAAAATAAGAACATGTTTTTGCTCATTTTTAAAGGAAAAGCACAAAAATGAGGAAGATGATTTGAGTAAACTACAAGAAAAAGAAGCATTAGTTGAACAGCTGGAAGCAAAACTTGGAGAAGAAGAAAAAAATTCATTTCAGCTTAAGGAAAAATTATCAGATGTCAGTAAATTACTTGACGAATTGAAAGAACAGATTTCACTAAAGGACCAGGAGATAAGTAATATGAAAGTTGAGCTTACCACCTATAAACAGAAAGAAAGACAATGTTCTGATGAAATAAAACAGTTAATGGGAACTGTGGAAGAACTGCAGAAACGATGTTACAAAGACAGCCAGTCTGAAGCTGACATGGTGCAAAGAATGGAATTAGAAACACAAAGGAGACTGGCACAACTTCAGGCTGAATTAGATGAAGTGCATGGCCAGCAGATTGTGCAAATGAAGCAAGAATTAATTAAGCAACATGCAATGGAAATAGAGCAACGTCTTTTGCAACAAAAAGTAGAATTGGAGAAAATTTCAAGTCTATGTTTGGATGAGAAAGTTAATAAAGATCAAATGCATTTAATGAATATCGAAATTAATGAATTGAATGTGAAATTGCAGGATGCTGATAATGAAAGGGAAAAAATAAAGCAAGAATTGTCACAACAGATGGAAGTCATTTCAGCAGAGAATTCTCTTCAGCAAGCTAAAATTGAAGATCTTTTCCAGGAACTGAATTTTTCAAGAGAGCAGGTTCAAAGAGCGAAACAAACTATTGTGGATATGGAGTGTAGATTAAATGAAGCTGAAAAGTACCAGGTTGTGATTGAAGATTTAAAAACTCAGCTGACTTCTGAGTCTGAATTTAGGAAGGAACTGGAATTAAAACATGAGGCAGAAGTCACAAATTACAAAATAAAACTTGAAATGCTAGAAAGGGAGAAGGATGCAGTTTTGGACAGAATGGCAGAGTCTCAAGAAGCAGAATTAGAGAGACTGAGAACAAAGCTTCTGTTTAGTCATGAGGAGGAACTTTCCAGACTTAAAGAAGACTTAGAAAAAGAGCACATGTTGAACATGGAAAGCCTTAAAGATAACTTGAATATGCACCATAAACAGCAGTTAGATGAGGTACAAAATGAAATGAGTCGAAGGATAGAAGCCATGCAATACGAAAAGGACAACTTAATCACAAAGCAAAATCAGTTGATATTAGAGATTTCAAACCTTAAAGATTTACAGCAGTCTATCGTAAATTCTGAATCTGAGGAAATGACACTTCAAATCCATGAGCTGCAGAAGGAGATTGAAGTACTTAGGCAAGAGGAAAAAGAAAAAGGTACTCTTGAACAAGAAATTCAAGAGCTGCAACTTAAAACTGAGTTGATGCAGGAACAAATGAGGGAGAGAGAAGATAGCCTTCAAAGAAAATGTTCAGAACTTGAAACACAAAATAACCTTCTTAAGGGGGAAAACAAAATTCTGGAAGAGAAAGTAAAAAGAATGTTGGTAAGCTCTGAAGAAAACGTCATTTTTAACAACAGCATTAGCTCTAAGTCAGAAATTTTGGACTTGCAAAAAAGAATAGAAAAGCTTATTACTGAAAATGAGCAACTTAAAAACCAAAACGATCAACTCCAAGAGGATACTGAAAGGCAGAAGAGTGCCTTTTCATTTACTGAGAAAAAACTTGAAGCTAATTATAAAGAGCTGCAGAAAGAATGTGCAAGTCTTCTGAAGGCAAAAACTGAGTTAGAAGAGAACATGAATAAGCAGGAAGCTGAATATAAAAGCAAACTGAAAGCTTTGAATGAAAAACTTCACCACTTACAAAGCAATAGGCCAGTTTTATTTAAAACTACAACTTCTGATTTTGAAGGAAGTAAAGAAATTAAGGTGTCCAGGGCAGACACATTTGAGGCTGGAGAAGTTGTTGAGAAAGATGCGACAGAACTTATGGAAAAGCTTGAGGTTACCCAGCGTGAGAAACTGGAATTATCCCTGAGACTTTCCGATCTCTCTGAACAGTTGAACTCAAAGCATAGTGAAATTTGTAATTTAAATGAAAAAGTGAAATCCTTAAAAGATGAGAAAGAACAAGTCCTAGCAAGATGTAAAGAACTAGAAGTCGTTATTAGCCGTGCTCAGAGAGGACATAATAGTAGTAATGACCCTAAACCAAAATGCTCTAAAGGAAAAACTCTAAAGACTGTTGCTCCAGCATCTGACAATAGAAATAAAACGCCTCGTTCAAGGAATAAAGTTGATAAAGGAATAAATGCAAGAGGAAAACTAGGTTCAGATAAAGATATCAGTCATGAAGTAACAGAAAGAAAGGAAGTTGAGCAAATCTTGAAACCAGAACAGCAGTCTCTTGTAGAACATTTGCATGGGATGACAGACAGGCTGACAGATGAAACATCGTTAATAGCCTTTACGCAGAGTGAAAATAATAATCTTCAGCAGCAAGTGGATGCCTTAAAATCAGAACAGGTATGTTACATAAAGCAGTATAGAAAATAATTTACCTATGAAAATTTGTAGGAGCCTGCTCTTGGAAATTCATATTTTCCCTGTTAGCTGCTTTGAAATACAGGTGCATGTGTGTGGCACTGTGGCCAACGGTTGAAAGTGGTTACATGAATGACCAGAATGAAAACCATAGTCAATGTGTGTGAGGATGCTATGTTTCAGTGAAAGAAATACTCTTCCCTTACATTTAGTTAAATCAATAGCAAATTAAATCTCCTTAAAAGATAAGGAGAAGACATCTAGAGCACTTCACACTTTGGTACAGCATTTAACTTACTTGAGGTGAAAACTTATTCAGGACTTAATTTTTTTGATCTCTGATTAGCTTTTCATTTCTCTAAGTACTCATTCAAACAATATAAAGAGATAATGAAACTCTTGAATTCTTGAGTCATCTTTTATCAAACTTGTGAAATACTGTTCTTCCATTATCAAAATTTTTGTGTAGACACTGTTATCACTTCTGTAAGAAATGTATCTGGATGTGAAATGTGTGACGATAGAGAAGTTACGCATATTGTGTGATTCTAACCAATCTCTGTTTTGCGGGAGGAATCTTGCGTATATTTTTTGGTATTGTAAATGTATTGCAGGTAGTATGAAAAGGATTGTTATTTGCCAATAAAAATAGCTAAGTATTGAATTACCAGTATTTAATTAGGTGCTGGAATCATAAATCCGACTTTAAATTTATATACAATGATGAAGTTGAATATCATGCTGCAAGAAGTTATGCAACTAAGTTTTCTGTAGAAATAGATGTTAACCGGTCTTCCGCTGTTTTATTGGATTGGGTTTTTTTCGTGTTCTAAAAATCCACCTAACGGTGAACTAATACCACCACTGCCCAATTTTTTATTGTTGTTTATTATTTTTATGTTGTATTGTAGTTCATTCATTTCCTAAGAAATAAAATCACAAGCAAAGCCCCATTGGAAACAGTTGTGAGATTATAAAGCAGAGCTACAGCTGTATAATGCAATATTTTATTTTTTTTATGAGGCTATGGAAAGGATCTTGCAATTTCCTGCCATACAACTAAAAGATCATTATATCCATGAGGTGTCTAGAAACGTTTTAAAACTTGGACTCTGAATAGCTCAGTATTGGCATATCCTAAACACGTTTCTGCTTCAGCAGTAATGTTCTTAAAAGTGCAGACTAGAACTACAAGCATGGAAATCAATATTTTTTAAGATTTGCTAATAATACAGTCTTTTTCCTGTATTTAGATTTAACTTTCTTAACTTACTGTGTTGGTAGTGATATTTCTTTTATTTCATTGGGGTAAAGTTCGTTGGGATTTTGTTGCTGCAAAATAGGAATTTAAATGTATTGAGTTGTGTTGGGTTTTAGTTCAGTTTTTATTTTAAGTTGAAGAAGTGTCATACTGTTTTGTTACAATTCAATTTTTCAAACTATGTATATTTAAATTTACCTAATGTATACCATATGTGCAGCATTCCATTCAACACATTATTTATTTCAGTAATTTACAAAGGCAGGAATTTTTTTTGTTTTCTTGTTTCTCACTCTTTGTAAAATGTGTGGTTTTATTCAAAGACTGATTTACAGCTACAGATGGAAGCACAGCGTATTTGCCTGTCCCTGGTTTATTCAGCTCACGTAGATCAGGTTCGTGAGTACCTGAAGGCAGAAAAAGAGAGTGCACTTTGCAGTCTGAAAGAGGAGCTTGTACACAGTCATCTTCAAGAGATGAATGATCTTAAAAAAATGCATCAGCTGGAGCTCCAGACCTTGAAAATTCAACAAGCAGGTAACTTGACCACAATTATGCAAGTGGAGCTCTTGATATGAAAAAAAGTTTTTAAAGGAAAACGAGTTTATTCACGTAGCTGTCCAATAAAATGTTTTTATAGAATATTTTGAGGTGGTTTTTTGTACCAAATTGTTTACTCATTACAAGTAGTCTATTATTGAGTATATTACTCTTTAAAAAGACAAAAAAAAAGTAGTAATATAAAAAAAAAGAAGGAATAGGAAGTATTACAACTCATGTTTTGCTATTTGTATTAAGTCAGTTAATTGTAAAAAACTATATAATAGGTTAACCTGTAACGTTTTATTCCTTATTGGATTAATAAGTAAAGGCATCAGCAAAATATTTTTGGGCTTGTTTCGTTCTCGGTTCTTTGAATTCCTGCACTGACTCCCTGCCCACATTAAGTAAGCTTCTTTGCTACTACTTTTTGCCTGGGTGAACTTTTATGTTATCATGATGGCTTTCTATCCCTGCTTTTTCTGTCATCCTATGATTTGCCTTTTTGTAATTTTTTTGGCATAAGTTATTTGCCCTCCAGTATGTTTCTATAAAGTTTAATCTTTCTAGAGGTCACTAACACACAAAACCACTTCTCTTGAACATGCAGTTCTACTATAATAACTGAATCCGTCTGTGTGACGGAACAAGAAAGAGGGGAAAAAGAAAAGCTATGCCTTTTTAAGAGCTGAGGAGGCAACCTCACCGAGGCAGGAAATTAGGGCTTTGAAAAGTTTTTTGGCATCTAGTGTTTAAAAATAATATGAATAATTTGTATTCATAGATAATGAAGTCAAATCTACACAAAGACTTATAGAAAAACTGAATGAAGCTGTAACTGAGGAATGTTCTAGGATTGCTCAGGTAAGACTTAACAAAAAGGGTTTTAAAATGGAAATTTTGAAAATGAAAAATTACGTGTACAGTGAGTTATCATATTTTTGTACATAATTTTTAACAGGTTTTCTTTGCAACTTTTCCCTTTGTATTGATCTCACAATAGAGAC